AGACCTAGAGGGAGCAGGTGGTGCAGAAGAGGAAAGCCAGGCCTGACTGTGGTGGTCATGACTTTCCTCTCTGCAATAAAACGATCAATCTGTCACTCTCTCCTTCCTATTCCCAACCAGACTGATAAGAAGGCCATGAGAGAGAACTACCTGCGATCACAACGCTTTAAGGTTTGACTTAATTTTATCTATTGATCCGAACCTCTAATCTCAGCCGTGGCTTGCAGCTCCACCCCTGCAGGTCCCCGCTGAGATTTCTCTCTCGGCGCGCGTTTCAGATGGACGTGGTGTGCCTCCTGCCCCTGGATTTCTTCTACTTCAAAGTCGGCGTCAACCCGCTCCTGCGCTTTCCTCGCTGTCTCAAGGTGAGTCGGAGCTCGCGAAAGCGGGCGGAACGCTGATCACGGTGGAAGTGGAGGAGTCCTGCCTGGCTGGGCTAAGCTGTGGCTTGCCGAGGCTCAGCAGTGATGGCAAGAAGATTGGTTGAGCCAAAGGGCAGTTAGAGCTTGAGCTGAATCTCTCCGAGGGGATGTTCCTGCTGCAGAGGAGCTGCAGGAGGGGAACGAAGCGGGAGTGGGGACTTGTGGGGACACGAGTCTCCCTGCGGGACGCTGGAGCTGCTTTCCCTCTCCTCCCAGTACCTGGCCTTCTTCGAGTTCAACAACCGCCTGGAAGCCATCCTGAGCAAGGCGTACATCTACAGGTGAGGGGTGGGAGGCAGGGAGGGAGTGCGGAACTGCTGTTTGCTGCCGGCTAAGAAGGTTTACTTCGTGGTGCGCTCATCCTGGGCTTCTGATTTACTTTCCCGCTGTCCCCAAACCAGCTGGTGATGGCCGGGGAGGGCATCTGCTGTGTTTCTCCCAGCACGCACCATAGCATCTCCCCTTTCCTCTTATCTCCTTTTTTTTTTTCATGGCAGGGTGATCCGGACCACTGCCTATTTACTGTACAGCTTGCACGTGAATTCCTGCCTCTACTACTGGGCATCGGCTTACGAAGGTCTGGGCTCCACCACCTGGGTCTACGATGGGGAAGGAAACAGGTACAAGCCAGAGCCGGGGTCCTCAGAGCCGGAGCAAGAGGGGAGGTGTTGGGCTGCAGCTGATTTTGTAAAAGCCCCTGAGGCAAAGGGTTGGGGGTGCCAGGAGGAGATGCAGAGCCAGGGGAATGACGGGGGCAGGAGGACTAGAACATGTAGTAATACGGAGCTGCAAGACCGAGAGGCTGAGGCAGAAGGTGATGGCAGGTCAGGGAGGCTGAAAAACTGGGAACCTGGTGCTGGAAAACAAGGGAATGCTCTCCCCAGCTGGCCAGGATGGCAGCATGAGCACTATTTCTGTCCATGTTGACCTGATGCTGGGTGGGGATGGAGGCTGTGTCCTTAGTGCCAGGCATCAGGCCCCTTGCACCAGCCCGGTGTCCTCGTTCCCAACCTGAGAGACAGGGGCAGTGGCCGCTCAGTTTTGATGTCAGTGGCGGATGCACAGGGAGGGTAGCACTAACGTCGAAATGATTTAGCACCGAGCAGTGAAGGAGTTTCCTGCAAAAAGACCCAGGAGATCTCAGGCAAGACTGACCGTGAGGTGTGGCTGTAGGTGGGGACAAGTGGCCGTCACCCGGACAGCCTTGGTGTGGGTGTTGCCTTCCCTCAGAGCACTGGCTTCCCATGTTAATGCTGTCACCGTACAGTTATTTTGTGTGATATGCATGTCTCTATCCATCCGTAGATGTAGCTGTGGCATTAGGGACAGAACCAGGGGGAATGGTTGCAAGTTGCAACAGGGCAGGTTTAGGCTGGACATGAGGAAGAAATTCTTCACAGAAAGAGTGGTCAGACCCTGGAACAGACTGCCTGGGGAGGGGGTTGAGTCGCCATCCCTGGATGTGTTCAAGTGTCGTTTAGATGGGGTGTTGGGTGAGATGGTTTAGGGGTGAACTTGTAGTGTAGAGTCAATGGTTGGACTCAATGATCCCAAGGGTCTTTTCCAACCTGAATTGTTCTAGGATTCTATGATTCTTTGATTCTGTAATTCTATGATTCTATGGTTCTATGGTTCTGTGATTCTATGATCCAAGGCAAAGCCCAAGACCAGCGAACTGAGAATTCACTGGACACCTCCTGAGTGCCCTGCCAACAGTTCGCTCACAAACCATATTTTTACTCTAAAAATTAAAAAGTTGCTGAAAACACGTTGCTAGTTTATGACAGTGGAGCCGTAACAGGAAATGGGAGTAGGTAGAGCAGCTGAGCTCCCACACACAGAGGTTTCTGGAGGGTTCCTACGTCCCCCTGCTCCTGTGGCACCTCCAGAAGGACCTGCAGCCCCCTCATTTTCCCTTCGTTGCCCATAATTACTCTTAGCAGGCTCTGGCTTGCTGTGGCCAGAGGATGAGAGCTCGGTACTGAGGGGTGAAAGGGGCCTTCGTGCCAGAAATGCTTTCAAAGCTGCCTCCTCTTCTCCACCCAGCTACATCCGCTGCTACTACTGGGCAGTCAAAACCCTCATCACCATCGGGGGCTTGCCAGACCCCAAGACGCTCTTTGAGATCGTCTTCCAGCTGCTGAACTACTTCACAGGCGTCTTTGCTTTCTCCGTCATGATCGGGCAGGTGAGCAGGGGTCACGACGGGGCCCCAGCCTCGGCTTTGGAGGGATTGCTCCACGGGTTTGCAGCTCTGGATTTGTTTTCCCTGTGCGAGGACCCGCTCAGTGGAAGTCCAGAAGGATTTGACAGGTGCTGTTAGGATTCAGCACACGTGCCCTAGGCTGCTTAACCTGCGTGACGGATAAGTGACAGCCAGTAAAACATCCCTTCCACCTCTTTCTTTCCATCATGCAGATGAGAGATGTGGTGGGCGCCGCCACTGCAGGGCAAACTTACTACCGGAGCTGCATGGACAGTACCATTAAATACATGAACTTCTACAAGATCCCCAAAACTGTTCAGAATCGGGTGAAAACGTGGTACGAGTACACATGGCACTCCCAAGGCATGCTAGGTGAGATCCGACCGCTCCGAGGGCCAACGCTGGCACCACCTGTGTTCCATCGTGGCTGCTTTGGTTTATAACTCTCAAAGAGCACTGCAGGTTTGGGGCAGGGGGTGGCTCGTTTTACTCCTCGCTATAGGTTTGGTGAGCACCTTGGTGGCCTGGCATCACTCACCGAGTCCAGCATCCCACCCGCCAGGCCCCGGGGAGAGGGCGGTGACTGGCAATCGCTGGCCAGAGCATGTCCAACAGCAAGACCCACCGGCTCACCCCACCAGTAAATCATCAGGCAGGACCCCCTGTGCCCGTTCTCCCGGCCAAGGAGCTGGCTTGGGCTCACCAGGCTGTCTCCAGGCGTCCTCAGGGCAGGGATAACGCAAAGGGCACCTCTCCATCTCTCCTTGGCTGGGCAGAGGCTGGGTGGGCAGAGGCTGGAGGAGACCCTCTGGCCGAGCTGCCTTTCAGCTCAAGTGCTGCAAACGGCCGGTTTTCTGCTTTTGTCTCGTAGATGAGTCGGAGCTGCTGGTGCAGCTGCCGGACAAGATGAGGCTGGACATTGCCATTGACGTGAACTACAACATCGTGAGCAAAGTGGCCCTCTTCCAGGTAACCTCCACAGCACGGGTCGTGGCCGGCAGAGCCCGTCGTGCCGGTGCAGGCTGATGGCGCTGTTGGCTCTATTTCGACTCAGGGCTGCGACAGGCAGATGATCTTCGACATGCTGAAGCGGCTCAGATCCGTGGTCTACCTGCCTAACGACTACGTCTGTAAGAAGGTAACGAGGTGCTCGGGTGCCTTCCCGTTCTCAGCACAGGGTGCTGGGAGCAAAGCAGAGCCTTGCCCTGGCCCTTCACCGTGGCTTCGAGCTGCTTCATAGGGAGGAGGGTTCAAAACGTCCTCGGCTGCAGCTGGTCTTGTGCAAAGACTGACCTCTTCTGCTGCAGCCATGAACAGCAGGAGAGCAGGGAAGAGCCTGACGAGCTGGAGGAGCCCTTGGGATGCTTAGAAGAGCCTTTGGGATGCTTTAGAGGAGCCCTTAGGGTGCATAGAGGAGCCTTTGGGATGCCTAGAGGAGCTTTTGGGACGCTTGGAGGAGCCTTTGAGATTCTTGGAGGAGCTTTTGGGATGCTTGGAGGAGCCTTTGGCATGCCTAGAGGAGCTTTTGGGATGCTTAGAAGAGGCTTTGGGATGCCTAGAGGAGCCTTTGGGGTGCCTAGAGGAGCCCTTGGTGTGCCTAGAGGAGCCTTTGGGATGCCTAGAGGAGCCCTTGGTGTGCCTAGAGGAGCCCTTGGTGTGCCTAGAGGAGCCTTTGGGATGCCTAGAGGAGACTTTGGGATGCCTAGAGGAGCCTTTGAGATGCGTAGAGGAACCTTTGGGGTGCCTAGAGGAGCCTTTACGATGCCTAGAGGTACCTTTGGGGTGCCTGGAGGAGCCTTTGGGATGCTTGGAGGAGCCTTTGGGATGCTTGGAGGAGCCTTTGGGGTGCCTAGAGGAGACCTTGGGGTGCCTAGAGGAGACTTTGGGGTGCCTAGAGGAGGATTCTCAGGAGTGAGCGCTACCAGGACCAAGAATTTTGAGAGCTTGGGGAGGGCAGCACAGCCATGGGGGGGGTTTTCCAGTGAGGTGCAGCTTAGGGCATCAGTAAAGTCTCCCTGTTTCTGGGCACCCCCCGGCAGCACCCATCTTCACCGCAGGGAGAAATCGGCCGCGAGATGTACATCATCCAGGCGGGACAAGTGCAGGTGCTGGGGGGACCCGACGGCCAAACCGTGCTGGTGACTCTGAAAGCCGGATCAGTGTTTGGAGAGATAAGGTGAACCCAGGAGCACCCGGGAAATGGGGGCAAGGGAGGGTGGGAGGTGGGGGGCTCTGCAACACCCGCATTAATCTTCACAATCGCGGGCAGTGAGCGGCGTCTGCTACGCACGTCGGAGCTTTTCCACTGTTTTTGTCATCATCGTGGTGGTGTTCTCCGCCTGGGGAGCTAGTGACGGCGAGCAGAGGTGTATGGAGGGGTGGAAAAATAAATAAGGAAAGGTGTCTCACTGAAAGAGCCCCCCCAGGCATTGAGCTGCCCATCCCAGGGGTGTGTAAAGTCCTATATGAATCTACATGGAGTTTGCCTCCCCACAGCCCCACAGACACCAGCCTGCTCTAAAATGCAATATTTAAACATTCAAACAGGCAAATAGTTTTTTATCCAGTGCTCCGTGCCGACGTTTCCTACCATTCTTGAAAAACTGGGCTCGGAGAATTTCAGCAGGGGTGCAAAAGTGGCTTTGGG